ATACCCCCACATCCTTCCCACAGGAAGGTATTGCCTACTCACTATCCAGCAGGATGAAGAAAACCATCTTTCTGGCCAACCATAGCCTAGCCAGTCAGAGGCTGTAGCACCCCAACCAATGAGAAGCCTCCAAACTTTGGACTCCCAGTGTCCTCCAGTGAACTCTTTAGTTACGACAGCCCCTACCAAGGCCCCCTTTTCCCTATAAAAGCAAGCTCCCTTCCAAGTTCTGTGGATTTGCCTGTGGTCAACCATAGTTTCCATAACCTGAATTGCAATTCCTCTGGCTATTCCTGAATAAACTCCCTTTTGCTGGTAAAATAACTGACCATTATTAAATTAATAATTTTTCAAGTTATTATTCTAGGTGCTCCACTGATTAAAAGGTATGATGATGCTAATGATAAAAATAACAATAATAGTAACATTTATAAGTAGTACTAATATTTATTAAGCATCTACTTTGTCTCAGTGTTTTAGACACTGTGCATCTACTTTCATTTAATGTTAATATATATTGCCAAGAATCTACAATGGAGAACAGACAGTCTCTTCAATAAGTGGTGCTGGGAAAACTGGACAGCTACATGTAAAAGAGTGAAATTAGAACATTCTCTAACACCATATACAAAAATAAACTAAAAATGGATTAAAGACCTAAATGTAAGACCGGATACTATAAAACTCCTAGAGGAAAACAGAGACAGAACACTGAATAAATTGCAGCAATATTTTTTCCAACCAGCTCCAAGACTAATGGAAATAAAAGCAAAAATAAACAAATGAGACCTAATTAAACTTAAAAGCTTTTGCACAGCTAAGGATACCATCAACAAAACGAAAAGACAACCTACAGAGTAGAAGAAAATATTTGCAAATGATGCAACCAATGAGGGACTAACTTCCAAAATATACAAATAGTGCATAGCTTAGTATCAAAACAAAAACAAAGAAAAAACAAGCAACCCAATCAAAAAATGGTCAGAAGACCTAAATTGACATTTCTTCAAAGGAGATATCCAGATGGCCAACAAGCACATGAAAAGATGCTCCGTTTTGCTAATTATGAGAGAAATGCAAATCAAAACTATGAGGTATCGCCTCTCACCAGTCAGAATGGCCATCATTCAAAAGTCTATAAACAATAAATGCTGGAGCGGGTGTGGACAAAAGGGAACCCTCCTACACTGCCGCTGGGAATATAAATTGGTGCAGCCGCTATGTAGGACAGAGCTTCCTTTAAAAACTAAAAATAGATTTACCATGTGATTCAGCAATCCCACTCCTGAGCATATATCTGGAGAAAACTATAATTTGAAAAGACACATGCACCCCAATGTTCACAGCAGCACTACTTGCAATAGCCAAGGCATGGAAACAATCTAGAAGTCTATTGACAGATGACTGGATAAAGATGTGGTATATATACACAATGGAATACTACTCAGCCATAAAAAAGAGTAAATAATGCCATTTGCAGCATAGATGGACCTAGAGATTATCATATGAACTGAAGTAAGTCTGACAGAGAAAGATAAATTATTATATAATGTCGTTTAAATACAAATTTTATTTACAAACCAGAAATAGACTCAGGGACATAGAAAACAAACTGTGGTTACTAGGGGGAAAGGGAAGGGAGGGATAGATTAGGAGTTTGGGATTAACAGATATACATTACTATATATAAAATAGATAAACAGCAAGGGCTTACTGTATAGAACAAGGAACTATATTCAATTTCTTGTAATGAGTTGTAATGGAAAAGAAACTGAAAATATATATGTATGTATATGTATAACTAAATCGCTTTGCTGTA